CATGGCTAAGTGTGAGCTAAGACCTGGATCCAACAAACAACACCCCCCTCCTGGACCTTCCTTGTTAAGAGCAGGCAGGTGGGTGGGCACAGCTTTCGTACAGCAAGCGGCTGGAGTGAGTGGGCACTCCTTTGGGTGGGCTGACCTAGTGAGGTTTGCTCACCCTGGTGTCTTCATGTCTGGGTGAAGGACACAGATACATGGCCGGCCTGCCATCAGGCTTCCTGCTGGCCACATCCCCAGAGGGTTTGGGCTCCTGAATGGCAGTTCTCAGCAAGAAGCATCAGCGTAGCAACGGTTGCTGGTGCCCGGGGTGTGCGCGCGCACATGCGCCATGTGGGGGTACATCAGCCCAGCCCTTATTGCTGATGCCACCAGAGTAACCCCCACCCTCACCAAAGCAAAGCGGGGCCACGCCAAGCCAAGCCACCTGCTTGCCCATGCAGGGGGCAGTCTGGCTGGCTGACGTGGTCCTTGGAGGGCAGAGGGGAGCGCCAGGCTGGGCTGCGCTGGGGGAGCCTGTGAGGGGGACACCTAATTTGTGCACCTCAAAAATTGTGTGCCCAAGGACACAGTCCCCCCCGGTGCCCCCTTCACTACTCCTCTGGCAAGAAGCGAATGACTAGGTGTCTGCAGAGCAAGCAGGGTGGTACGGTCCTATGTTTAAAAAAGGTAAAACCGTAAAGTTTTTTGAGAGTCTCCTCAAGAGCAGTATGTAAATAGTTAAATATTTCAAATAAAAATAAATGAATGGGTTGCTGTTGACATTTGCCAGTCCCCATATGTCTCCACCATAAATCATTTGAGCAAGTAGTTTAGTTTCAAAAAATCTTTACAGCTGAAAGCACTTGCATAATTACCTCCGTTAGATATTGCAAAGTCCTTAATAACGTTCATGGATATGAGAGCCTGGAGCCTTCTGGACTCACTGTGGCCCAAGAACGCTGCTTATGAAATGGGGCACCAAGATATTTAAACAGCCAGACCTGTTCTATATCAACAGTCCCAATTTAATCTGAGGGTTTTTTCTTTTCTTTCCAAATTCAATAAATTTGATTTTAGGGTAATTTCACAATAACTGTTCTTTCCTTGGGTTGCGGGGATCCCACAGAGTTTTGAACAGCCAATTCTTTCCATTAAAGTTGTGGAAAGCATGCCCATGACATTCACTTATAAGAGAACAGTTTGCAATTGAGGGGGGGGGGAGGGAAGCACTCCAACTGCAGGCGATATATTTCATCAGAAAAATGTAGCCTGCTAAATGTGAGGCTTTGGTTTGCATTTCTTTTGGTGACCTGATCTTCCCCCCTTGTCCTCTTAGCTTGTATATTGTAAAAAAAAGGAGGGAAGTGCTTTCTAGTTCAGTTCAGTAGTGGTCTGTTGTGTAGGACAACGTGCTCATTCCATGCAACACAAAGCATGTTTGTCCAAATTGGGCTGAGACAGTGTCCTCTTAGAGTTCTGTTTACCCAAGAGTCACGACATTATTATCCATCCAGCATGGGATCCCCAACTGGCTGAGATTGACCCTGCAACTATATCCAGGAAGACCACCCAGTAGACAAAGGCGAAAATGGCACTGATGCAGTAGAAGAATAGGGAAACTGTTGGAGCAGAATAAATGGTGGAGGTGCAGCTTTATTTCTGGTAGAAGTGATGGGGTTTCTGGGACTGGATGTGGTGCAAAGTACACAGACTGTCCTTTAATGCTTGCCCTACCCAAATCAGGATGCTACTGAATTTGGATAAAAATGGACCAGTTTTACAAATCAGATTTTGCTTTTCAAAATCTGACATCAAAATTCAATATTCAGAAGCTCTAACTGAAATTAGATTTCAAAATATAACAGCTTGGGGTTTATCCCATTTTCAGTGGCATTATTTCCTGATTGGTTAAAATTCAGCTTTTAAGTGAATGAATTACATCAATATCAAAATGTATTAAATGCTGTTGCAGTCCAGCTGTCAGATACTGTGGAATACTGACCACCGTTGCATGTCAGCTGTCAAACACTGTTTGTTGCTGCATTCCACCCGATTAGATGCTACTAATAAAAAATTGAATGCAAAATCTACTGGTGCTAAATGTTAAATATTCACAAAAGAGAATTGGGCTGTGAGGGGTTGATAGTAAAGGTAAAGGTACCCCTGCCCGTACGGGCCAGTCTTGACAGACTCTAGGGTTGTGCGCCCATCTCACTCAAGAGGCCGGGGGCCAGCGCTGTCCGGAGACACTTCCGGGTCACGTGGCCAGCGTGACATTGCTGCTCTGGCGAGCCAGAGCCGCACACGGAGACGCCGTTTACCTTCCCGCTAGTAAGCGGTCCCTATTTATCTACTTGCACCCGGAGGTGCTTTCGAACTGCTAGGTTGGCAGGCGCTGGGACCAAGCAACGGGAGCGCACCCCGCTGCGGGGATTTGAACCGCCGACCTTTCGATTGGCAAGCCCTAGGCGCTGAGGCTTTTACCCACAGCGCCACCCGCGTCCCTGAGGGGTTGATAGAGAGACATTTATTTCAGTTCTGGCTCACCCGTTCCTGAATACATATCACTGTGTGCCTGGCAGTTCTCACGCTGACTCTGCAACCTCTGTCCATCACTCTTTTCTGCAGCTGTGTGTCCCAGATGCTGGCATGTCCCTCATGATGGACTGGACTCAAGCCACCACTTCCTGTGTGCTCCAGTCCATCTCAGGGGATGCTCAGCAAGTGGAAAATATTCCAGAAAGCGTTGCCATGGAAAACAAAACATCAGCATTTTATTCACACCCCCAGATGATTGTTTCCTTGATGTAATTAGATCTGTTGTAGCTACTTAGCTCTTTTACTGGGAGGCAGAGAAAAAGGACTGAGACTTCACCCAAAAGTTGACAACGCCCAGCCTTCATTTCGACCTCCTTAACTCTCAGCCTCTGCCACATCCCCAGAGAGCCAGGGTGGCCTGGGAGACCAGGGCTGGGACCCACACTTGGCCATAAGCTCACGTGGGTGACCTTGCGTCAGTCGCCATCTCTAAGCCTAGCCTAACCCCAGAGGGTCATTGGGGGATAAAACAGGGGTCGGGGCAGAAATCAGGCATGTCAGCTTGATCTCCTTGGAGGAAAGGCAAGATAGAAATTACATCTTGGTTATGGGTGGATTTAGAGCAAAGGCCAGCTCTGCTGAGCTGGTTACGTTTTCCTCATTTCTGCTTGTCTAATACAGTCAATGCTTCAGTAAATGGATTATTCCAAATTAGGTTCTCTACTTCCCTTAGCCAGGGCTGACAGGGTGAGGCAGTCCCCACCAGGCAATGTAATCTGGGTGTCATGAAAGAGCAGCAGCAAGTTGTTGCTTATTTAATTTATTATTACAAAAAAAAAATTAAGCCAGGAAAGGGGAGAAGCGCTTCTGGGATTTTCTGCTTCAGCTGCCAAAATAACTTGGCCATCCCTGAGGACTAAAATGCATCTTGACTTGTGAATGCGAAGCCCCACTTGCAAGCTGCTTCAGGTGGCAAAATGTCTTTCTTAGGGGTCCTGCCCTGAGGAGAGGGAAATCTGAGGGGCAATATTTTTAAGTTTCCTTGAGAGAATAGAGCATTGGCAGTCCCTCCAAATGTCCTTTATATTGAGCATGAATCATGATTTTTGCTCACTATGTGATTAGGGTGGTTATACACAAACGGGCTTTCATCACTTGTGCCTGCAAGGTTTTGGGAATGGCTGTGTTGCTTCATTTGCAAAGGGTACATGTCCCGTGGCTGGTTTCCTGCAACTTTTTATTTACTTATTAAAAAATATGCTGTTATGTGGACACTGCTCAAAGTGGCTTACAACAAAAATCCATAATACCATATAGTGGGGGAGGGGGGGGAACCCATATAAAAAAGTTAAAAACAGACATCAAGTAATGATTGTGGAATGATGTTAATTGCTTTTTACTCCTGAACCAAGAATCATCAGCACACCAAGAAAGCAGGGATGGTGTCTCCAAAGATCCACCAGCCATCATCAAGCAAGCATCTTCTAGGTACTTGTGACCCAATGAGGAAGCATCATTACTAGCCCATCATGGCTCGTTCAAAGCATAGAAGAAAAGTCAGCTGCAGACTTTACATGAATGTTGCAGGGCAGCTGTAGCTCCCAACTGTAGCTCCCAACATAGTCCTAAAACGCCTTGCTCAGCCTCCCACTTTCCCCGCCCTGATTCTGGGGAGATCTATTATCATCCATCCATCCTCATAGCCCCATCAATTCATCCTTTCTCCCGCAGTGGCAAAAAACATCACCTGCTCTGTTCTCTTGGGAATATACAAAGAGTTTCCTTCTCCTTCATTGTCAGTCCTCCTTCCAGTAAAGATTAAACTAATTATAGCAGCAGCACAGACAATAAAGGAAGGAACTAGGGGCTCTACAAATGAAACCAATATATTTATTGGTTGGCTGAAACAGAGTTTAATATCTCTGTGTGTTTACGCTAGACAGTGGGCTGGGGAAGCAGGTAACTGATGTCTATCTTCTCTGACGCCAGCTGGCTCTGCCAAAAACCACATGGACAGTCTATCAATTGTAGGCTAAATCCCCCACAGAGATCAGGGGCTGCTTGAAAGTCTGATATGATTCTGATGAGAGAGAGAGAGGGAGGGAGAGGGATGATGATGATGTACTGTAAATTCTGTTAAAACCTAGCCAAAGGTCTCCTTCCAGGATATAAATAATTGTGCTATAGTTGTTAGAATGTTCTAGAAGTGGACAGGAATATGTTAAAATCCACACACAGCCATGAAGCTCACTGGGTGCCCTTGAAATATATAAGAAATATATAAGAAAATTTTAAAAAATTGTCCAAAATCTCTCAACCTAACAGTTCTAACCTATTCCTCAGGGTTGTAATGAGGATACAATATGGGGGGGGGGGACCATGTATGCCCCCTTGAGTCCCTTGGAGGAAAAGCAGGATATAAATTAAATAACAAATAAAAGAAGCAATTAAAAACAGTCTTTTTGTTTTTACTTTAGTCTGCAGTGACCACCAGGCTTTCAAATGGAAGAATTAGAGGTAGGTTTTGCAGCTGCCCTTCCGGAACAACTGTCAGCAAAGTCCGTATTCCAACTTGACAATGTTCTGCAGTTCCCTTGCAGCTAATGATACAGAGCGGAGGAAGGAGCTACATTGGGGTGGGTTGGTGGCAGACAGAGGGGCTGCTCAACAACAGCCTCTGTGGTCTTTGTGACATAACGTAGCTGAGTCTCTGTGGCTCAGTCTCTCATTTGCAATACGAGGGCAACAGCAGCAATCCACCTGCCTTAGAGAGCTGCTGTAATTTTTTAAAAAAGACATTCATTTCTTGGCAATCTCTGCAAGGAAGCACTTTGAGCCCCCTCCAAGATCTCTATAAATGTGAAATATCATAATTAAACTGGGGGAGGGGTGGGGAACCGTCAAGATGAAAAGCTCAAGTTCTGGTTTAATTCTGTTGTGTAAAAAGTTAATGGTTTTCTGACTTTCCATCTGCAACTCTTTCTTAAAACTTCCTTTAAGTCGAACTGGGAGGAGGGCATTAAAAGCAGGCAATTAGCACCTTTATTTTAAAAAAATCAACAGAAAAGGATGATAGCATATTCAGGCCCTGACCCTAATCAGATCTCTCTCAGACATCCACACACAAGATGTTTCAAATTTGCAATTGCGACCCTATGTCGCTACTTGCAATTATAATCATTCAGCGGAGGAAACCAACCAACTTCTTTTAAAAATAAAAGAACTAGGTAATTGCCTGTGAAATCTCACATCTGGAACTGCGGGTGTGTTTGTCTAGGCAGGAGGGAGAAATTGTGTTGCTCCTGGGTCATGTTTCTTCCTGGCTCCTGATCAGCCCCCTCCTTAACTCCTGCCCCTCTCCCCAGCCGCCTTGACCTCTTCACTGCTCTCCTTCAACGCTCTCAAGAAAGGGCACCGGGAGAGAAGGGAGGGCCCCATCAGCAACATGGACAAGATGTCTCTTGAGAAATGGTGCTTTACCATTCCCAGATCTCCTCAGTTTAGTTTCGAGAAAAAACAAGTGAGAGGTGACATGATAGAAGTTCATAAAATTATGCAAGGCATGGAGGGAATAGAAAGAGAACATTTTCTCTCTCTTTCTCTTAACACTAGAAATCACAGATGGATAAAAGAAAGTACTTTTCCACACAGCACATCTTTAACTATGGGCCTCACTTCCACAGGAGGCAGTCATGGCCACCCACTTGAATGGTTTAAAAAGAGGACTGGACAGATTCATGGAGGAGGAGAAGGCTACTGGTGGCTGCTAGCAACAATGGCTGAGTTCTCCTTCCATGGTTGGGGGTAGCAGTGCTTCTTAATCCCAGTGACTGGAAGCCACAGTTGCTTGTGGGCTTCTCACAGGCCATTATGAGAACAAGAGGCTGGTCTAGGTGGGCTTTCGGTTTGATCCAGCAGACTCTGCCTATGTACTTAGCCAAAGCAGGATCAAACTTTAGTAATATGGACAACGCCCCTTTTCTTATTTTCACAGAAATTCCTTTTTCTAAAGTTGCTTTTAATGGATCTTCTCAGTAGGTACCCATATAAATATAGGCTGTTACTTTTATTGTTATTGTTTTGCACCCCTCTGCTTGGCACCCTGTACGGGGGAACTGCCCTCGCTGCCCTAAATCTGGCACTGGCTACTACATGCATGGCTTACATGGGAATTTGCCTTACACTGGACCACCTAGCCCAGTGGCTGGCAGCAACTCTCCAGGGATTCAGGCAGGGGTCTCTCCCAGCTCTAGGTGCAGATGCTGGGGACTGAACCTGGGAGGACCTTCTGTATTCAAAGCAGATGCTCTGCTGCTGTCCCAAGCCCAGTTCTTGAATTGGGTGCAGGGGCCATCTCAACCCAAGGACTGGATTGGAAGAAGGGAATGGAGCGAAGGGTTACTGCCCAAACATGTTTCTTATTCAACTGTGGTTTAGAACAGGGATAAGGAACCCGTGACGCGCCAGATGTTGCCATCAGTAGCAGCCACAGCCAGCTTGGCCAATGGTAAGAGATGATGGAAACAGCAGTCTGGCAACACCCCTGCTTCAGAATGATGTTGCTAAAGTCAGATAAAGAAATATGAACCTTTGGAACTGGGTACCCAATAGACTGTGACAAAGTTATTAAACATTAAGGACATTCTATTGTATGTAGATGGATCCTAGGGGAATGAAATTCTAACGTCTTCTATGGAAAGCAAGGAAGAGTATGAAAACATGGTGTTCTCTTTCCTGCTCCCCCAACCAACTTCCTTTCTCAGTGGCTGTGCTGCAGATTGATCCTGAAATTAAACAGGACTCTTGGGGATATTTATATCTTCCCAGGCACTTTAGTAGCATGCTTAGAGATAACCATATTACCTCCAAGGGCCTCAGGCAAGTCAAAGCAAGGGGGGAGCTTCATCCTCATTATTGTTTGCTTTAGAGCAAACTCAATACAACCTCAATGCAACGCAACATGGAATACAGTGGTACCTCTGGTTAAGAACTTAATTCATTCTGGAGGTCCGTTCTTAACCTGAAACGGTTCTTAACCTGAGGTACCACTTTAGCTAATGGGGCCTCCCGCTGCCACCGTGCTGCCACTGCACGATTTCTTTTCTCATCCTGAAGCAAAGTTCTTAACCTGAGGTACTATTTCTGGGTTAGCGGAGTCTGTAACCTGAAGTGTCTGTAACCCGAGGTACCACTGTATAAGGAAAGACAGCATAATATGGTCACACACCCATCCCACCACACACACTCCACCTTAGTTGGTCAAGTTGTGAGTTGCCATAACAGCTTGAGTCCAACATCCCTAATGTTTGTTCTATTCTGGAAGAGCAAGCCCTTAGCTATCACCTGTACTCAACTGAGGCTGCTTGCTCCAAGTGCCGGCAGGCAGCAAAACAAAGACAGTAGCAATGGGAGGATTCCTGTGTTTCTTTCCCCATCCCACATTTTCAAAAATGTTTCTCAAGCAGCTTCCTTATGGCTGTTCTGCATGGCGAGCAGGCAGCAAAATGAGCAATTCCCACACTTCTTCCCCTACCCCAATACACTTTTTTTAATTAAAAAAAACGGCTCTCAAGTAGCTGTCTGCCTCCTGCTCCATGTGCCTGGCAGGCAGAGAACAAAACAGAGCAGCAACCAGGAGGATCCAAGGGCTAGAATGTGAGAGCAAAGCAAGAAAAGTGTGCTGGAAGAGGCAGCCCTTTAGGATCCTATTGCCTGGTGTTCAAACAACTCACTTATATCACAGCTCTGACTTCATTCATTGGCAAAAAACACTGATAGACAGGAGCAGTCAGGCTGCTTCATTTCATAGAACCTCTGCTTAATAACCTGCAAGGGAGCCCACCACCTCTCCATTAGGGCTACTGAAATTATATTGGAATGGAAGTTGTCCCAAATCCAGTTCCACTGTTTCTTAGATAGTCTCTGATCCAAATCTTGCAAAAAAAAAAGTTTTGTTTTATTTTTCTGTGAGTTGGTTAAAAAGAAAAGAAAATCTTTTCTACCAGCCTCTCTTTTGCCTCTCACTAACGAGCGAAAGTGAACAATCATAACAGATGGTGTGACTGGAATCTCCAGTGAGCAGGAAGGAACATATGACAGCAGTGGTTTTCTTTCCAAATGAAAGCTCAATGATTCCATCACCTTCAACCACTGAAATTTATTAACACCGACCACAATCAACTAGGAAGTTGTCCTGTGAAAACTTCACTGAAATGAACATTCGTGTTTTGCACAGCTCTTGTTCCTTTCATTAGAGGTGGCAGAAAAGAACATCCTGATTGAATGTGCAGCACATCCATGGCTTACACTGGGCTAGCTTTAATAGCACCTATAACCCATGACTAGAGCTGGCCACTTCCCCTTTGCCCAATGATAGGGCCGCTGCTGTGCCATGGGAGTGGGTGCATGGCTCAGTGAGAAAAATATGCCCTGCACTGATGGGAATACATTAATGAGAGAACTATAGACAGACAGACAGACAGACAGACAAGCAGACAGATGAGGGAAATGGGCTTCCAGTTCCAGAATTTTTACAACGTTTGTTAATATGTTGTCATGACAACAGATGTACCATTTAGAGTAATTATTGGTGAATAACAAAACAACCACAAGTGATGAGAGATAAAAGACTAGTGAGACATTGTTATTCACAGCTAAAGCGCTTTTTGAATTAAACATGTCTGTTTCAGTCAGCATTACTAAGAAGGGGCAGCAAAGGAAAAATAATCTTGAGTTTGGGTGGTGAGAAAATGGCTTCATTCAACTCGTCATAGTTCACCTAGAACAGAGGTTTCAACCTTTTTGAGACCATGGCTCCCTTGACCAACTACATTTCTTCTGCGGTTCCCCTGTGTGGAAACACACTTCAAGCCTCAGAGGCCCAGCTATGTCCCCCCTTGTCTACAGAGCCGGCAGTCCCTCACCCCTTTTTAACCCCCTCCCTTGTGGCGTTCCCTCAGCCTCCTCTCCCCTGTCCTCGGGAGTCCTCCAGGCAGCAGTTGCCACCACCCCTGGTCTCTGAGCTGCCCCTCTGCTGCACAGCGAGGAGCCTCCTCGTGTGGTCCCACAGGGGCCTGGAAAGAGGATGCCATGTGGGAGGCAGCTGTGGCAGCAGCAGGTGCCGCCAGGCTTGCACGGTGGAAAGGCTCTCCTTCGGTGCCAGACACTCAGCTCCCAGGGCAGGCATTGCACACAGCAAGCACAAGAAAGGCTAGTGCAGTGTGTCCCTGCCTGCCTGCCTGCCTGCCTGGCCTCCCACTTTTCTGTCCATTCCCAACAGCAAGGGCTGGAGGACTGGCTAGCTAGGCTCCCTCACCCGCTTGCTTGCTTGCTCCAAGGCTGCCTCAGGTCCCAGCAACCAGCATCCCCTTGCCAGCCCCAGAGACACCATTCACCTGGAGAGCTTGTAGCCAGGGCTGCTGCAACCAACAGTCGCACAAGGCAGAAACATGGCATCCAAGGAAGGAGGGAAGGAAAGAGGGACAGAGGGTGGTTGAAAACAATTGACCCAGAAGGATCCCTCAAGTGTTGGGGAGTTTAGTGAGGTTCTCTTTTAGCGCCGCAGAATGTGGATTTGTCAGGCCTCAGAAGTAAGCCTGGGAAGAACATGTTATGTTTCCATATCCAAGCAGCAGTGAGGACACTGACCCAGACTTGAGGTTCTTGCATGTGTGTTTGTATTCAGCAACATGTCATGGATACAGTAATGGTGCATTAGTGCTGGATTTATATTGGGCCCAAATGGGAGCAAACCGTATGGAAAGCGGGATCGCTGATAACTGCCTCAATATGATCAAGAAGCACGGATGGCCGCCAACTTGGATGACTTTGAAAGGGGATTAGACAAATTCATGGAGGACAAGGTGATCAGTGGCCACTAGCCCAAGGATTTCAAAGGAAGAGCTTTGTCGAGTTTTTGTAAAAAGCTCGACAACTTTTGGGGTGTCCTTGTTTTTACCTTTTGAAGTAAATACCAGTGGCTCTGTGTCGAGTTGCAGCTCGGCATTCAGAGAAAAATCAGTCTCACACCATGATAGGTTCCGAAATATGGCTGCTCCTAGGGCTAATGCAGCACAGCTTTTATTGTGTGAAATGTGTGAAATCAGAAAGATACAAAAAATACAAGCCAAGCAATTTGTTCTAGCCAGCAGATAAAGACCTTGGTACTAGACCATGCGAGCGATCAGGCCATGCTACGTTAGCCAATCATATGGGACAGCACGAGCTGTTCACGCGCTGTTCATGCTCCAAGGATGCTTCTAGCTATGAAATCACCCTGTAACAATAAGAACTTTGCTCATGCTCTCATGTACAAGCAATCCATTTTCCCACAGCTCTGGTCTCCATCCAGTGTCAGAGGCACTTGTTATTAATAATAACACTTGGATTTCAAAGTGTTGGAAGAGTTTCAAACCCTTTCTCACTGATCCTTACAACAGTTCTGTAAGGTAGGCTAGGAGTATTATCAGTGGTGACTGGCGCCCATTGGAACTGGCAGCGTTGGAGAAAAGGAGACCAGCCATAGGGAAAGCCAGGGCCAATGGCAGGCAGAGCAAGCTAAATCTAGTTTGTCCCTGTGATGGCTGCTTCCCAGCTCCCCGGATCCTGTGTCTTCTGAAGGGAGGGTGCTCCCAGCTAACACAGAGTGTCCTCAGCCCACTCTTCCCCCTTTAAAAAAACTCCCTGCCAGCAGATAAAGGGGGAAATTCTTTCAACCAGGAGTCCTCTTCAGGTAATCTCCCTGAAGCCACTCAGGTTATGACTTCCAGGCAAGAGAGTGTTTCCAATAAACTGAGACCACAAAGGTTTATGAAACAAGATAAAAGAAAAGTTTACTCAAAAGTTACAGAAAGCCAGCAAATTTCCCAATCGAGCAAAGTATCAAAATAAAGTACCGTACTATAGACTGAAATGCTGTCCCTGAACTTAAACATCCTCTCATCTAACAAGACCCTCAGAAGCACCTTACTCTCAAGTAGCAGCCCTTTCTTCTTTTGCCTCTTTCCCAGGATCACAAAGCTTTTTCTTATCATGCTGAGATCCCCTTGGAGCTCTTCTTCTTTCTTTCTTTCTTCTTTGGCGATCCCTCGTCGCCAAGTAAGATTGTCTTCCATAAACACAGTTTTAACAATGGGTCCGTAAGTGACTGTGGAGGCCAATTCTGGATCCACACATCCTTCCACAGTGGGGACATTGGTTTCCAAGTGGGAGTTGATCACGGGTGTGGATTTGCCAAACGTGCCTTCCTCCTAGCATGTTTCTCCCTTGCGTCCTGAGTTCAAGTGTCTTCAAAGCATAGCGGTCAACGTTTTCCTTTTTTTAAGAGAACTTCCCTTATTCCAAATAGGATTCCTCGCAAGAAAAGGGAAAAATTGACAGCTATGCTTCAAAGTCCATGACACTTTTGGTAAAGGCTGTTCTCCAACTGGAACACTCACAGGCCAGTGTTTCCCTGTTGTCGGTGTTTATACTACATTTTTTTAGATTTGCCTTGAGACAGTCTTCAAACCTCTTTTGTTGACCACCAGGATTACGCTTTCCATTTTAAAGTTCGGAATAAAGTAGTTGATTTGGAAGACGATCATCAGGCATCCGCACAACATGACCAGTCCAATGAAGTTGATTTTGAAGAATCATTGCTTCGACACTGGTGATCTTTGCTTCTTCCAGTACACTGGCATTAGTTTGCCTGTCTTCTCAAGTGATGTGTAAAATTTTTGGAGACACCATTGATGGAATATTTCGAGGAGTTGGAGATGGCGTTTATAAGTGGTCCATGTTTCACAAGCATACAGTAAGGTTGGTAGTACAATAGCTTTGTAAACAAGCATTTTGGTTTTCCTGAGAATGTTCCGGTCTCAAACACTCTGCACTTCAATCGGGAGAAAGCCGCACTCGCAGAGCTCAGGCGATGCTGGATTTCACACTGGGGCCACTGTAGTGCTGTGGTTCTGCTCCTTCCTCCTGAGCCGTGTCCAGAAAGTGGTGTTGGGGGGTGAGTGTTCAGACCCCTTGGCACTCACCTGTGGGGTGCCTCAGGGCTCTGTCAACTCCCTTATGCTTTTTAACATCTATATGAAGCTGCTGGGAGAGATCATCAGGGGGTTTGGGCTGAGTGTTCACCAGTACGTGGGTGAGACTCATCTCTACCTCTCATTTAAATTGGAACCATTGAAGGCGGTGAATGTCTTCTGTGTGTGTCTGGAGGTGGTTGGAGGATGGATGGCAGCTAACAGATTGAGGTTGAATCTTGACAAGACAGAAGTACTGTCCCTGGGGGATGGGGGCGGGCAGGTGTGGGGGTCTCCCTGGTCCTGAATGCAGTAACTGTGCCCCTGAAGGACCAGGTGCACAGCCTGCGAGACATTTTGGACTCACAGCTGTCCACAGAGGCTTAATTCTGTGTCCAGGGCAGCTGTCTACCAGCTCCATCTGGTATGCCAGCTGAGACCCTACCTGCCTGCACACTGCACTGTCTCACAAGAATGGTACATGCCCTGGTTATCTCCCACTTAGACTACTGCAATGTATTCTACATGGGGCTACCTTTGAAGGAGATTCAGAAACTACAACTAATCCAGAAGGGACCATATAAAAGCATTCCTGAAAGACCAACATTGGCTCCCAGTATGTTTCTGAGCACAGTTCAAACTGTTGATGCTGACCTTTAAGCCATAAACAGCCTCTGCCCTGTATACTTGAAGGAGCGTCTCCACTCCTATGGTTCAACCTAGACATAGGGTCCAGCTCTGAGGGCCTTCTGGTGGTTCCCACATTGCAAGAAGTGAAGTTACAGGGAACCAGGCAATCACATGCTTTGCCCCTCCAGGATTACAGGCTCAGTTTGGAACTTTTGATTTTCATGCCCTTACACACGAGATCTGCAATGGAGTTCTACTGCCTTCACAATTTAAGCAGATCAAGAAAGTCCAGGCTTCACAAATTAGCTCTACAATCCTCAAAGCAACATACAAGAAAAATATCCATTCCCATCTAATTCACAACAGTCCATTAACAAAGTCCATGCAAACAGTCCAGGACTGCAAAGTTCAAGGTCTTCAAGTCCCCCATCTTCTCTGCTGAGTTCTACAGGAGCTGTAGATGACGACTAGCCATTTGATGGCTAAGTCCTGTTAACCACAAAAGGGGAGAGCGTTTGGGTCCTGCTTGTGGGTTTCCCACAGGTATCTGATGGGCCACTGTGAGTACAGGATGCTGGACTAGACGGGCCATTGGCTTGATCCAGCAGGCTCTTCCTTCATTCTTAGCAGCAACACTGAGACTAAGAAGGAAGCTGATAGATAGTGCCATCCCCTTGGACTAGATGTAAGTACGAAGTCAGACAGATGGGGGATCGCTGGGGCAAACTGAGACTGGTGGGGCAGAGCCCCATTTATCCTAATGGAGAAATCTCCGTTGAATACTATTCAACATTTGCAGAAGAGGCTAGCTATTAGTTGTAGGGCTTGCAATTAACTCAACCCTCTATTTGCATCTTAAAACAAAACATGAGTCCAATGATTGCAGTGTCAGCACTGGCCGTAAGGCTACATCCAGACAATGACTGTAGTATAGCGCTGCGCAGCAGTCTGAAGCAGACAAATGCTGGCAAAGCACCATGACATTCCATCCAAAGACTCCCCCCTCCTTCATCTCTAGAAGTGGCGGAACCCTGCCAATTATGGACAGAAATAATTTGAACCTACTCAATTATTTTTCCAGGCCTCCACTCAATGCCTGGCTATTAACCCAGTGAGCCTGGATTATTTTGGGACAGGTTATGATTCCCCACTGCCCCCTGGCCACTTGGCACAGGCCAAGACCCAACAAGATGAGCGAATGCTGAGATATAAAGAGTTTCATTACTGCTTCTTTTTCTTTTCACCTGTAGTTTGTATCTGTTCCTATGTCCACCTGTGGCACTGATATGGGAACATATAAGCGAAGGAGGAGATATGGGGAGGGCGGAGACAGGCTGGAGAGTGAAGTGACGAATGGGGAGCACAGAAGAAGGCAGATGAGGCTGCTAGACAGAGTTCAAATTCCCTGGCAAGCACAGTAGCTGTGACCCTTGAGGGCAGGATGGGGACGGGAGACTTGATCCTGCACACACAGTCTCTTGCACCAGATTCAGTGGGATTGCAAAAGGGCAGGCGTGTTAATAAATATGTGTGTCATTAGTAACATTGCCGCTCCCTTTCACATGCCCTCTGCTACACACACAGTAACCCTGGAACTTTTCCCAAGTGAGAAAGATGCTCTGTGAACAGGACTCCGTGTACTCTCCAGCTAACAAAAATGGGTGTTTTTCTTCTCTTGCTCGGGAATCTTTAGGCTGAAAAAAGGATAGGGAAAAGATAATTAATACTAAAAGTGCTTATATAACCTTAATGATTTAATGTTAGGAAGGAAGAGAGTATTGCTAGCTATTATATCATAGAAATGCAAAACTGCCTTAACCATTGTATAGCAATGCATGTGCACCTTTATTAAGGTATTAAGGGAGTTAGGATTCATTTGCATGCAACCTGTAAGGAGTTGTATAGCTGTAGAAGACCTGGGCTATCTTGCATGCACCTGGAATGGATCAGTTGAGCAAGCAATTCTTGGAACGCAAGTTGTCAATAATAGGTATAAAAACTGACAGCACCAAGAGAAGGCTCTGATGATTTGCATGGTTCTGCTAAGAAGCCAAGCAAATTGATGGTGTCGGCCTTAGGAACATATTATTAGGAAAGTGTCTTGGGATGTTTAGCCAAAATCTGCTTCTCACAGAATACAGTATTTAATAACTGCATTTAACAGACATATATATCTTTTCTTAAATTTATATCCTGCCCTTCCTCCCAAAGCTGCCCAGGGCTTCCCTATTTGAGTTTCATATTTGAATTCTGTATTTGAAAATTGATTTGCTATGGTGTTTTTGAGTCTATGGCTTTCTAAATATACATAGAATCATAGAATAGAATCATAGAATCATAGAGTTGGAAGAGACCACAAGGGCCATCGAGTCCAACCCCCTGCCAAGCAGGAAACACCATCAGAGCACTCCTGACATATGGCTGTCAAGCCTCTGCTTAAAGACCTCCAAAGAAGGAGACTCCACCACACTCCCTGGCAGCAAATTCCACTGTCAAACAGCTCTTACTGTCAGGAAGTTCTTCCTAATGTTTAGGTGGAATCTTCTTTCTTGTAGTTTGGATCCATTGCTCCATGTCCGCTTCTCTAGAGCAGCAGAAAACAACCTTTCTCCCTCCTCTATATGACATCCTTTTATATATTTGAACATGGCTATCATATCACCCCTTAACCTCCTCTTCTCTAGGCTAAACATGCCCAGCTCCCTTAGCCGTTCCTCATAAGGCATCGTTTCCAGGCCTTTGACCATTTTGGTTGCCCTCCTCTGGACACGTTCCAGTTTGTCAGTGTCCTTCTTGAACTGTGGTGCCCAGAACTGGACACAGTATCCCAGGTGAGGTCTGACCAGAGCAGAATACAGTGGCACTATTACTTCCCTTGATCTAGATGCTATATTCTTATTGATGCAGCCCAGAATTGCATTGGCTTTTTTAGCTGCCGCGTCACACTGTTGGCTCATGTCAAGTTTGTGGTCAACCAAGACTCCTAGATCCTTTTCACATGTACCGCTATACAAGTTTGAATATCCAGAAAATATCTGGAGGAAAGGTTAAAGCATTTGAGCCTTTTTAGTATGAAGAGAAGGGAAGTAAGAGGAGATGTAACAGGAATGCGATGCTGGACACAGAGTTTAAGAGATGCAGTTTTCTGGGCACGTTTGAATTGAAATGATGAGGGAGATGAGTTAGTCTAACTAGGTTCCACAAGCAACGCTTTTTTCTTTGTTGCAACAAATATAAATTGCAGAAGGGGATACAAACTTTATTTTGGTGGGTTACTTTTGAATTTCTGTTATCTCTCTCTCTTAAATTCTACCTCTGATAGCACAATGTTACCATATATATATCTACTCAGAAGTAAAAGCCCCAATGAGTTCAGTGACACTTACTCCCAGGTAAGTATGCCTGCTATAGCAGATTAGGGCTGCAATCCTAAATCCATTTAGCCTGGAAGTAAACTCTATTGAATTCAGTAGAAATAATATCTGAGTGCATATGGTTAGGATTCCCCTGCAAATTACCTCTGAAATGATACTGTTGACAAAGAAATGAAGAAGGCAACTAAAGTTGGTGCTTTTCTTTGGAAATATTGGTATGCCATTTCTGGTCAAAATGTATTTTGGTTTGAGGAAGAAAGTCCCCCCCCCCCCCGCAACCTGGAACCATCCCTGTTAATGGTAGCTCATTAAGCTGTTGCAATCAGAATGTATTGCAGATGTTCTCCATATAATCAGACCTCAGATCCTCAAAATGAGGAACCAATTCCAAGTTCTTCAGCTTGTTCGTGTCTCCAGAAAGGTCAAGGAGAGAGAACCAGTGACAGAACGGACAGATGGCTGCAAGTCATTGGCAGCAGGAAAGGGAAGTGCTTCTCCAAAGTTCGTTGACCACTTTCCTCATAGGGCAGGAGGAACATTCCTGGAGAAGAAGGGAGGGTGGGCAGCACAGCATGAACTCTACTAGGAAACACAAATATTTTTAATAGCAAAGCAAAAATAAAATAAAGACTGCAGGACCTCTCCATTTGCTGGGCTGGAAAACCAGCTCCCTCAATTGTCGTCTGCAGCCATTTAGCTACTACAGGAGGAGGAGGAAGATGAGGAACTTGGGAACAACTTGGGAACAGCTTAGGAAGCGGACTTTAAAGAGGGCGTCTCCATCAGCTCTGCTGAAAGGCCAGGGGCTTCTCCAGACAACCAGTTATTAATGAAGATACTTCTTAATTTACTTGCACAAAGCTTACAGAGAGGTTAGATTATAGGTTATAGGACAAGAAGCATTCGTCCTGATTTTCTTGGTGTGGTGTATACACATATTTCAGTTAGTCATGCATGCACCCTACACTTGCCAATGCATTCCCTATCACTTTACAAACCACAAGAAGTCTGTTTCTTTTTTAAAAGTGGGTTTGCTACCCCAACCCTCTCTCTCATCTTCCTCAACCTTATACAGTAGAACATTAGTGTCTCACACATCAAATATAACTGATCTGTAGAAGAGTCTATGAACAGAAAACAGAGACACTTTCAAGGTTCAAGAAAATCTTGAATAAAAGCATTTTTAAAATAAAAAAAGTGGATTTGTCATGGCAGGGAGACAGAGCCCTTTAATTCACTTTATTTGCAGTAACCTAAAGCTCCAGTATGTGCTGAGTTGAAATACTGGCACTCTGGAGCCTGCTCCTTTTGGCTTCTCTACCTCTCCTTAAAACATTTCCATTCCAGGTGGTCATTACAAGAACTGTAACTAAGAAATGGTTTTCTTTCCCTTCCTCCTCGCTCCCAGTTCCTTTTCCTTTTATGCCCTGTCTCTTGGAAGTAATCCCAAGAGGCTGAAGTGTCTGATCATTTGTTAGCTCTCTGGGAGCATTTTTTTTTTTGAGTTGTTATGCAAATACAAAGCAAAATATACAAACATATTGACTAAAGATAAAAAAGCAAAAGCAAAAAACTAGGAATAAAAAATAATAAAAAATAATTGTAATAAACACTTAAGACAGTTTAAATAATCAGATATACAAAGATAACATGTATTTCTTCTAATCATTATTTATCAATCAATCAATCAATCAATCAATCTTTATTACGGTCCAGAGACCCAACAAATCATTACAAATCAATACACAATTCATACAGCCTACCTCCAGATTAATCAAGCATTTTGTTTAGAATATAGGGCTCATTTCTTCCTGCAACCACCGATAAAAACTTTGCCACTGCTAACGTTCTAGCATTTGTCCAGTCTTCCAGTAGGAACCTGACACAGTGAGCCTCTGATTTTCCTGGGAAAGATACCAGCAAGGGTAATATCACTTCAGCCCTGGCCTGCTCATATTTTGCACAATGCAACAAAATATGCTTTATGGAATCGATGTCTTGAGCACACGAGCAAAGTCTGTCCTGGTAGGGAACTCCTCTCGACCTGCCATCCAACACTGCAGAGGGAAAGACATTTAGTCTGGCTTTGGCGTCATTACTTATTCGTATGATTCTATGGGAGCATTTCTATTTTATGCTGAAGAGCAAGATAAAAAAAAATACTTGAAATAATAATGAAGAGAATGCACTGCTTGGAAAAACAGCAGGAGGAGGTGTTGGAGGGGTCACATAAGCAAAAGGCCCCTGGTTCTTCTCCAGCATTTCTAATACAGCTGCAAAGTCTCCAGTGTGAAGCCCAGGAGAGACGCTGCAAGTCCATATGGAGCTAGTTGGGCAGTGCACTGGCTCACTGTAAAACAGCTTTCAAACTGCCCTAAAAAGAAGGAAATGGGATCCAGCATCAGGCCCCGCTGCTAGCTTGTCAAACCTGGCAACTGCACAGTCTCTTGGTGTTATGTACTGAAGTTCTCACCCTGGGCCAGCAGGTGGATACTGTAGATAGTTCAGGTCCACATATGCAAATAAGGGATCAAAAGTGACATTCAGTGATTGGATAGTTACAGAAAGTTGTTACAGTTACGTTGTACTGGAGTTCTATATAAGCAGGCTGGCTGAACCCTTCAGTTCAGTTCTTTTCTGACCTGTGAATAAACAAGAGCTGATTGGAGAATCGCTGTGTCGTCTGATATGTTCACCCACAACTTAACACTTGGAATTATGATGACAGTGCAGGATGGATTTGTTGCATTTTGCTGCCACTGCCCAAATACATTTTGGTACATGAGATGAACCACAAAATGGTGACCCCCCCTCCTACTCACAAAGGAAGAAGGGGTGATTGAAACTCTACATCAGAAACAAGGGGGTGGGATAAACATCTATTTGGGATTTGCTGCCCATGTGGATCCTGCCACCTGAGGCGGTCACCTCACCTCGCCACATGGGTGGGCCAGCCCTGTACTGACCTGCACACTGGTTATTTGGCTCCCCCAGCCTTTGGAATGGAACCTTCCCAAAATTCTGATTGCGCACCTTGAAAGATGGGCATGATGAGCTGAAGAAGGATCCCCAGACTGCAGAAATGCCAACACTGCAGTACAGGAGGTGGGGAATCTTCCACAGCCCTCCACCTCTCCAAGCCTACCTGGATCATCTGTCTTGGTCACAAGGACCCAACAGACTTCCTTCTTTGCTAAAAATGGTAAAACTCAGGTGTTGGGCATATGGCTTTTTTCACTTAATAGTATCTGTAGCACTAATTAAGTTTCATCCAACCTATTTGAGTACTGTATAGTAACAGCTTCACTTTTTTAACATTAAATAAAACACCTTTTGCAATTACCTCAACCTTATTTTTGTTAGACTAAAAATGTGAAAAGGTGTCCTGATATGGATTAATCCCTTTTGCAGCCACCTGGTTAAAAGAGTTCCCATTGCATATTACTAACAAAGTAGCTCATACGTAAAAGCATTTAAAAGCCCCCTGCTTTGCCATAATTGGTTGCTGTCATACATACACAGACACTCACACACTCCATATATATTGTGACACTCCATATATTTAATTAAAAATGTAAAGGTAAAGGAACCCCTGATCATTAGGTCCAGTCTTGGCCGACTCTGGGGTTGCGGCGCTCATCTCGCTTTACTGGCCGAGGGAGCCGGCGTACAGCTTCCGGCTCATGTGGCCAGCATGACTAAGCCGCTTGTGGCAAACCAGAGCAGCGCACGGAAACGCCGTTTACCTTCCCACCGGAGCGGTACCTATTTATCTACTTGCACTTTGACGTGCTTTCGAACTGCTAGGTTGGCAGGAGCAGGGACTGAGCAACGAGAGCTCACCCCATCGTCACGGGGATTCGAACCGCCGACCTTCTGATCGGCAAGCCCTAGGCTCTGTGGTTTAGATCACAGTGCCACCCGCGTCTCTCATATATTTAATTACATATTGTTTATCAAGTACAAAATTGTTTTTATCCTGTTTGCAAACTTGATCTGTCTGAATGTGGGTCAGTGAGGACAAAACAGAGTCATGGGAAAGGCAGGGAAATGTCTCCACTAGCGATGGTGACCCTCCTTACAAACTGTGCCATGCAGAAAACAGGGGGAGGTCAGATGGAGCCCTTCCTCCCATACAAACCTGAGCTAGAAAGAGGATAGCAAAAGGCAGCGGCGTAGCGTGGGTTGTCAGCACCCAGGGCAAGGCAAGTAATTTGCGCCCCCTAACCCGGGGCAAGGCAAGTAATTTGCGCCCCCTAACCCGGGGCAAGGCAAGTAATTTGCGCCCCCTAACCCCTAACCTGCCGCCGCTGCCAGCTTCTTCTTGCTGCTGCCTGGGCTGGGGTATTTACGGTAAGGTAGCCACGGCGGCAGCGGCGGGTCCGTGTCAGGTGATCTGAGGCGAGTTGCCGCTGGCGCTGGCGCCCAAACGACGCTGCTTGCCCGGAGGAGGAGGGCAGAGAGGCGAGGAAAATGCAACATGGCCCAGCAGCTGCAGCAGCGGCGGCGGCGGCGGCGAGGCTGTGAGGAGGGGCTGCCTAGCGCGCCCTCTGCGGCCCTGACGCGCGGGGACCGCGCGGCGAGCACTGAGAGCCGCTGCCAGCTCGTTGGTTCCGCGAGACATGGGGCTCTGCTACAGCCTGCGCCCGAGACTCCTCGGCGACTCCGGAGGCGGCGAGCGCCCCCCCCCAGATGTTGCGCCTGGTGCGGCCGGCCCCCCCTGCACCCCCCACGCTACGCCACTGGCAAAAGGCTTTTGCTAAGGCCTGTGCTCTGATCCACTCACCCCTCCCACTTCCATCTGCTCATGAAAAGTTGACCTGCCCTCAAACTTTTCAAAGAAGCACGTGGGGACACTTTTGCATGCCAATTCTTAGTCACTGTCTTGAGGCCTTTCCTTGCTGCAAATCGCAGGAGGCTGTTCTCCCATTTTCAATGTGCTGCATTTGTTCTGTGCGGTTGCCTGTTTCTCACAGATTTAAACGCCATGGCACCAAGGACAGTTTGCTCTGCGTCTGTTAACTGGCCTACAGCAGGTTAAATTGAAAAACTGACAATCTACCTTGGCAGCAACTGCAGTGTGAAAAATGGCGGTGCACTGGAAGTATCTTAGTTCTCATGCATTATGCTCTAGAGACAATGGCAACCTCTCTGGACTCTGAGAGCCAACTTCTCTTTGCCAATCTGGTGCCCTCCAGCCTACTGGGGAGTGGTAGTCCTAGACAGCTGGAGGGCATTCACATGGAGAAGGCTGCTGTAGAAGCCATCAACCCTCCAAGGCAAATAGGGGTGCTGTGCTGATACACCAGGGACTGACCATGGTAAATGACTGGGGTACCTAAGATGGCGTGATTGACCCGGCTCCTACATGCTGGTGAAGTTGAATGCCCTCCAGGATCTAACACAAAGGCCCATCTGTTCTGGGGAGTTTGCTTCCTCAATCGCCAAGATAACAACAACAGCAAGCAAAATCCAGTTAAAATGAGTTAAGACACACAAAAACACATATTGTGTTTGTTCTGCTGCCCAGTGCATTGTAGT